ATAAGTAGCAATTACCTATAAGATTCAAATAAGATTATTTGAATATGTAGCATAAACTATATATGGGTAACGTAGATATTATACGATTTAAGCATGAAATGAACATAAGATATAGTCAGGTGAAATTATTATGTGTTATGAGTATATTAATATGTTAGATAAGTAATATAAGAAGGTCGATAGGTTAAATGAACTATGATCTAAAACTATTAGGTTTTTATATGATATGAAGTATAGTACCAAAGTACTTGAAATCATGTGAGGATATTATAGGAATTAGAAATATAAAGTGTATGGCATTAATGTATCAATTATAGGAAAATGAGTACATGATGTTGTAATAAATTATAGAAATTTGTGTAATGAAATTATATGAATAAGTGAAAGAGTAAAATAAGTTAAGCGATAGTGACCTAAACTATATTATGAATTAGTGGTATAAGAATATGATATAAAATATGCAATAAGAATCTATGGGTTAAATGATAAATATGAACTTATTAGAACAAAAGATAAGATATGTGACTATGAGTATTGAATACGTATCTATGTGATATGACCTATGAGATAATATGAAATATTATATGACTATGTGATTATATGAAAAAGATTACAATTATATGTGATAAGCTCTGTGATATGTGAATCATATGAAAATGTTCTACGCGTAAGTGAACCATGTGTATGTATATATATGTGATATGTGATTTATATGACAATGAGCTATGTGAAAGAACTATGAGACTATGTGTATATGTGAATGTATGATAACAGAAATATTAATGCCCATGTTATGTGACATGAGAGCTAGAGGTATAGTTGGCATGCCAAGAGTCGAGGGTCTACGCGGTCCTTCGGGACATATATGTATTCTTTGGAACATGTGTGAGGTCTTTTGAGACACATACTTGATCCTTAGCATATGTATATGATTCTTAAGGAAATTTTACGTGGTCCTTAGGGACATCTCATATAGCACTACGGTGCAATTCTACGCAGCACTTCGGTGCAATTCTACGTTGCACTTCGGTGCATTTATACGAGCTGTGGTGACAGCATTAGTGCACGACCTCTATAGACTCACATATCTATAGTTCTCACATGTGTACATGGGTTAATAAAGGGATAACTTTGAATACAATGTATGTAATATATATATATATACCTGAGGTGTAGTATGAATTGTATTATATGATATAAGTGTGTTATGGGTGATTGCATATGATATACAAGAATGTATGTTAATGTATATGAGAATGAATATAAATGACTTCTATGATGATATAAGAATCTGTTATGAGATATAGAATATGAATGTAAGAGACTATAGGAGTAAAGAGATAAGAGATATAAATGATAATAATATAAGATTATGATAAATAAGTAAATGATGATATGCGTATTAAGTAAATGTTTTATAAAAGTCTATATAAGATGGTATGACAAGTGTATATATATGTGTGTGTATTATGTTTATATATAATATGTTAGTACAAATTGTTCATGCATGATCACGCATTAGAGTTCTATTATGTTTTATGCCTCACTAAGTCATAGACTTAGCGTGTGATTGTTTCACACGTAGGTTACAGAAGCGAGAAAAGAAGCTAGAGGAAAAACAGGTCAGCATCTCCCTTACAAAATTCAGATCAGAAATAGATGATTCAAATGTGTTTGGTTATTTTGAATATAGTTGGCATGTACTAATTGATTGAGTTAAATATGCTCTGATCGATTTTGGTTATTTTGGTCAATTTATGTAAATAAACCGCTTTTATTTTAATGAAATTTTAAATTTTCTTTGAATTTTGGTCAAAAGTCGAAGTTTGAAAAGTCAATGAGACACCTCAGACTCGGATTCGGGTCGGATACGGGTTGGGGTGTTACACTTGGAAGATGTTAAATTTCCTAAAAATTATTTATTACAAATATGAAATGTAAGAAATAATATTATTTTATTATAAAAACTTAATATTATTATTTTTAAAATATTAAAATAATTTATTTAAATATTATTTATGTTCAATATTGTTGAAAACATTTTGATATTTCGATATAACAAATAAATGTGTAAATTCATTTTAAGTTTTTATATTCGATTTAAATATTATATTCGATTCAATTATTCAAATATTACAAATATTACTCCAAGTTTTAAAATATCAATTTTTACTTCTTACTTAAATGAAAAATTGAGATTCACTCTAAAAAAATATTTTTGAAATATTTTTTACGAAGTGTTTCGAACTTGAATCGAGTCAAAAATGGATTTTCAAAGAGGTAGTACATTCGATACCATGTCTTATAGTAGTACCGATACTGATACTACTCATTTGGTTTTGACTCTGAATTTTAGCATAATGCAAAATGGTACTGCTACCACGTTTCGGTATCGATACTATTATACATAGTCGTATCGATACTCCTTTGAAGGTATCGATACCGCTGGGTTTCCAACGGTCAAAAATTTAAATTTATAACAGGTAGTATCGATACCCCCTGAATGGAGTACCGATACCCATACGATCCCAATAGCTTTTTGAAGTGGAAAACACACTACAACGGCTCTATTGACTCCAATATGATTTCCAACGTTCAGAATTCATCCAATGAGTATTTAAACAAGTCTTGAAGCCATTGGTGAAAAGAGAGAAGATATATAAACAATTGAGAAAGTCTTAAATATCAAGTTTGAGCAAATCAAGCCAATATTCTTTCAATATTCATTTTGCTTTCCAAGAACACAATTTGTGCTCATTTGTATTTATTTCTTGAGTGTTCTTCATTGTTCTGAATTGTGCAAAAAATCTTTCCTTGTGAGGTTTTCTTTAAGTTTGCGAAATTTGTAATTTTCTCTTTGAGAGAGAGTGTCTCAAGAATTTGGGGTATAATTCTTGAGGGAGTTGTAAGGTTACTCTTTGTCCTCAAAAGAAAGACAAATTAGTGAATTTGTGGAAATCCTTAGTGTGGATAGCTAAGGTAGAGGACGTAAACTTTGGATGAGAAAGTTGAACCACTCTAAATCGATGTGCAAATTATTTCTATTTTCTATCAAGCTTCCACCAAAATTTTAATTGTCAATTCACCCCCTCTTGGCTATTTCATCTGATCGACTGACTCAACAAATATTATTATCAAAATATTATTTCTACAATTTTATAAATAAAATATTAACAATAGTGTATTTTATTAAAATAAAAATATCATAAATTATATTAAATATTTATTAAAATAAGAATATTATATTATATTATGTATCTTTATTAAAATATTATTAGATTATCATATTAATATTATTCATTATTAATAATTCAATAATATCATTTTAGGAAATTAATAAATAACATAAATTTTATTAATAATTTATTATATATTATTAAAATAAGAATGTAATGAGTATATTATTATAATATTAAAAAATATTATATATTATTAAAAAAATAATAAATATATTTAAATATTTAACAATTAATATTTTATTAAAATGATACTAAAATATTATATTAATATTAAATGCATAAAATTATATTATTTTGAGTATTTCTGCTTTGAAGTGAAAAGTTTGAAAAATAACTTACAAAAAATCAGACCGTAAGTCATTTTTCAAAAAATACAAAAGGAAATTATGTTGATTAGTAAAATATTTTACATTCATTAATATGTTTTCCACCAATGAAATACTAAAAAAACGAGGAAAATGTTTTTCGTTAAACAAACAGACCCTTAGTTTTGTGTCATACTTTATAATAACATTTTACGTATTAAACTATCTAATAGTCATAATCCGATTGTTCAAAATTACTACATATTATTACTTAGTAATTCTAACTCTATGGTGAAATGCTTTGGAAATTGGAGTTTTGTGAATAGTATAAATTGGTCTCGAGGAGGGGACAAGTAATAGTGTAAGAGGGGAAGAGATTAAGTGCTTCAAGAGTGAATCAGTGGATAATAAATGTAGATCTTTTTTAGAATTGGTTATAAGTTTTTTAGCGCAAAGGGTACACTTCGCCTACGGAAGGTACATACCTTCACCATGCACCTAGGCTCCAAACACTTTTGGTGCTTTAATGTGTCTTACACCTTTTAAAACTAAAGCAACATGCTCTACATGCCCTGATTTATGATATAAATATAGGAAATGAAACCTGAGAATGGGTTGTTCTTTAAGAGGTATTTGGATATGATTTCTTAGTATGAAGTTTCTAACCAAATGTTTTAGAAAAATATTCTTTCATAATTAGTCTTTGCATTATTACTACAACTTATTTTAAGAAAAAGCTACGATTTTAAAAAGATATAACTATAATTATTATTATAATTTAATTTCAGAAAATAAAAAATAAACTAAATTTATAAAATTCATGATATATTTGATACACCCTATGATTTAAAACAATTAATAGTTAAATGACTAAAACAGAAATTAAATAATAAACAGATGACTAAATAAATAATTTAGTCTTTTTTAACATGGATGGGCCATGGGCATGGCCATGGCCTAGATACACCCTGCGTCCATTTTTACATTACAGGCCTTTATGGTGTTAAATAAAACCCCAACATCTGACATCCCTACGCAACAAATACTCAATAGTCTATAGCTCCATCAAAATATCAATCTGCAGTTTAGCCTACTAAAATCCTCACAGTACAAACAAGGATTTAAACAGTGATCCGTAATAAGAATAGCAATAATTATATAATAGTAATGATATTATTCGAAACTATTAGTGTACGATCGTGATACTCCTTATGTCCATATCGTAATAAAACACAATAGAAAACATAATCGTTATGTCCATAATTGGCATCTCTATATAGAGTTTCAAAAGCCAAGCAACTAAGATCAAATTTTCATTCACCAATGAGTTGCTAGCAAAAGGAGATTTAGGATCAGGTAACTTACTAGACCAGATTGCATAAATTTTGATATAGCTAGCTGGTTAAGACTATCTAGGTTCATGACAACATTCAAAAACACCCAAATAAACCTGAACCCTAAACATAGTACTACTACCCATGGCTATTAATTAATTAAACACGACCCTCAAATAAACATTCTAACCTCACTTTCCCACCTTTCAAAAGGCTTTCAATTTCTTCAGGAGGGTTTAGCCCCATTCTTTGTGCTCTTTCCCAACGAGCCAGTCGCGATATCCCCAGGCACGGCCCGTATGCCATATTCATGTCAAATTGCGCCAACACTTTCTCTTCCTCATCAAAATCATCTGTTTCCCTCAAAATATTAGTTTGTAAAAATACCCATATCCGGAAAAAGGATAAAAAAGGGGGAGAGAGAGACCTTTGAGGTCGAGCGAACCGCCATGAGAAGCAAGGGCCGTAGCTTGGGTGACATCGGAACCGAAAGTAGCGGCGGCGTCTTTGTGAGATGGGTTTTTGGTTGACTTCTTCTCCGTAGAAGTGGTGGTGTTCTTCTTTTGCTTGTAGAAAACTTTGATGTTTCTGGATGTTGTTGCCATTATTGTCGATGCTTCTCCTCTCCCAAAGCTCTCTGATTGCCTTGATCCAAATTTTGAAATTTGTTTTCAGGATTGGTTGTTGGGTTTCGGTATTAATAGTGTGGGTAATTCTTTTAGTTTCCAAATTCCAATACTGATTCCTGGGTTGGGATTGGTTTCTTTGAAGCTTTAATGGGCCTTATGGCATTGCAAATTTGCAATAGCTAAACTACCGGTTTATGATCACAATTTAAAAAGCATAAAATACACAAATGATAGGGGCATTTTCGAGGCAATGAACGAAACTAAAAAAATAGGTTTTTATAAAATGAAAGTATATTTTATTACTTTAAATAATTAATTTAATATTACATTAATAAATCTTAGAAAAATAATTAAATTAAGTGAGATTGAATAAATTAGGGGCCTCATTATAAAAGTAAAAAGTGAGCTTAAAAAAATTAGGAGCTTCAATATAAAGGTAGAAAGTGAGATTGAAAAAATTAGGGGCCTTAATTATAAACGTAAAAAGTGGGATTGAAAAAAAATTGGGGCATCGAATATCGATTATTAACAAAAAAAAAAGTGAGATTTAAAAATCAAGAGCCTCAACTATAAAGTTAAAAAGTGACATTAAAAAAAGTAAGGGTCTTAATTATAAAAGTAAAAAAATGAAATTACAAAAAATAGAGACTTCAAATAAAGAGAAAAAATAAAACTAAAAATATTAAAGATTTAAACTATAAAAATAGAAAATATGTTTGAAAATTTTGGGACCCTATAGAAAATGGACGCCCTGAGCAGTCGCTTAGGGCACTTCCCCTTATAACCAGCTCTGCAAATGATGTATCAATTATAAGATAGTTGAATTATTCGATTATAAAAAGTTAAAACAATAATTATTTTTTAAAACAATTCTTATATAGGGAGAGGAGAAGGGGAATTTTACTCTTAATTGGTGTTGAACTCATCTCCTCGAGAAGATGTCAACTAAAAGTTTTTAACTTTCTGATCTAAATATTGCTAACAAAATTAAAAATAATTATATTTTAAAAATAATAATAAATTTTTATTTTTATTTAAAATAAAGTAACTGGAGATAACATGACTATTAACCATATTAACATAATAATAAATTCAGTTTTGTGTGCCCTTTGTTAACCTCGTGTTCTAATCTTTGATAGAACAAAAAGGAGAAAACAAACTGGTATTTTCAATCTTTCTTGTCCATAATTTTATATTTTTTACAATTTGTATAAGCTTTAAATAAAATGCTTATTCATCTAGGAAAAATGGAATAAATGACAAAACCATTACCTGTTAAATTACAGTTGTTATTGGTTTGATTTTTCTACCGTTATTTTCTACATTAGTGATTTTGGATGATATCACTATAATCACTATATAATGATCATTATTCCATTATCCGACCACTATAGTAGTTATAGACTTGCTTTCTTCATCACCAATGCTTAAGGAATTCCAAGCAAGATCATATTGATAATACATGCAGTTAGGGTTTTTTAGCTATTACATATGAGAGTTCCATTTCATGTTGAATTATTTAGCCATTACATGCAGCTAAGCTTGAAATTTTAACCCAAAGCAACATTTTCACCATGGAAGAAAATATCAAAGAGTACCTTATTCTTCAAGCAGAGGCAATCAAAGATAAAACCCACTTCGGACCTAGGGCTAATCAAACAAAGGAAGATCATCCAAAGGAGTCCAAAGTAATGAAACCAAATAAAAAAGGTAAACTACATCAAATACCATCAAATTTTAAGCGTCGACTCGTTTATACCACCAAATTTTCAATTTTATCAATTTTAGCACTAACATTTTCTTTCAAGTGCAATTATACCACTCTTATGGTAATTACTTAACAAGAGGATCACATGGCAATTGCACGCCTGATGTTCTGATGTGGTTGCCTCACCAAAACGACGTCGTTTGTTAGAGTCTCTCTATGAAAAAATTATTTTCCATGGAATTCAAACCAAAGTTTCAACGAACTAATGCTAAACACCCAACCACCAAGCTAACTTAACAACTTGTTATATTCTTAACAAAGCTAATGGAGCAATATAGCTGATGAAACAATATTTCCCATGGCATCAGCAGTGGGAGGAATAATCAAAGCATGATAATCCAATTTGGACAAAAAGGACTTCCCAAACTCACATGTCCCGAAGTAAACAACAGAACCTACAATAAAAGTCGAAACTCCTTTGTAAAATCCTAGAATACCACTCGTCTGGAAAGATTTGACAATAGCATCGAAGGTGTTGGCATAATCTTGGAAGCACCCTTGGTCTGCATTTTGGTCTTGATGGTATCGAGTGGGAGAAGACAGACGTAAGTGGATGCACCAGCAATTCCACCACCACCTGCATCGATTAGAGCTCTTTCGAAGATTGATAAGTTTTTCATAAGGGTTTGGACTTTGAGATTGTTTCTCGATGTGGGTTTTAGCCATTTGAGGAATGAAAGGGAATTGAGTTTTCGGGAATCAGTTAAATTGGAAAAAGGGAGCGGAATTTGAAACTTGCGTTTCCATAGATCCGGTTGAGAATCAACGGGAATGGAAGCAGAGGCAAAGGAAAGGTGGTGCTGGATATTTTTGGGGGGTTTTTTTAAGGATTTTGAGAGGATGAAATGAGAGTGGTGAAACGGGCGAAAAGAGAACTGCTGTTAAGTGTTAAGCATATAACAAGTTGTTAAGTTAGCTTGGTGTTTAAATGTTTAGCATTATTTCATTGAACTTTGGGTTGAATCCCATGGAAAACAATTTTTTAATCATGGGACTCTAACAAAGTGATGTCATTTTAGGATTTTTGAGCATCAAAACTACTTCGTTTTGGTGAGGCAGCCACATCAATAGCGTCCCGACGTGCAACTGCCATGTCATCCTCCCATTAAATAATTAATGACAGAGTAGTATGATTGTACTTAAAATAAAATGTTAATGCTAATATTGATTTTTTTAGAAAGAAAATACAAAGATTAAATGAAAAGAAAGAAATAAAGAAAATGATAAACTTTTTTAATTTACTAATTTATTATTATTATATATGTCATAATATAAGTGGTGGGGCATATATACATGCATGAAATGAGAGCAGAATTCTATTCATCTATTCATATGAACAAGATATGAAAGCGTATAATTTTTTGAGTTAAATTAAAAAATTTAATCGAATTTTCAAATATGTAACTCGTGTTAATATTATATAGTCCATGTCCAATCTATGTACCCCGAAATTTAATAGACCGAGTACATGACCCATAACCTTGACCTTTTATTAAAAAAACCTAATTTTTTTTATCAGTTCACCGTATTGGTTTTTTTTCTAAACGATCTTACATATATTCATGGTTTGTACTATGCTAAATTGATAGATGAACCAACGGTTAAGGATAAATTACATCATTAATTAATAAACTTTTGGAGTCATCTTGCTTTAGTCATCGAGCTATAAAAAATATCAATTTTGGTATTAAACTTTTTTGTCAATTCATCATTAAATTAATAACATAAAAAAAATGACTGTTATCTTCCCTTTTCGCAAAAACCCTTAAACTATTATGGATGTTGCTCATCGTTCTTCACAACAAAATTAGTACTAAAATGTTTGTATTTGTCTGTCCTCTCTTCTACCAATTTGGTTTTTCAAGGAACTTACTTAAAATTTCATCCAATTCTTGAATCTTCTAATACTCAAATCTCCTCCAACGGTCTTATAATAAGGCTGGTTTCGAGATATGTTGTTTTTCATAGAAGATAATTTTTTACCATTATGATTTTTCGATGAGAGACCACTAAATTTGGGAAAAAAACCCCTCAAATCAGATTAAATTCTCAAACTCTAAAAATGAATAATGCTGGGATTTTTGTCTTTAGTTTCATGAATTTTAAATAGGTTTTAGGAAAATCTAAATAGGTAAATTGATAGAGAAAGATGTAGCGAGTTTGTCCATATCTAGGGTGCTTGTAAAAGACATTGAAGAATGACAATTTTTAGTACCAACTAAAAATGTGGAATAGAAACCATAAGTTTAATAAAGAAGATAATGAATGGAAAAAGGAAAAATATCACATCAAGTAAAAATAAAAAAACAATATTTTTTACCTTCTAAATCAACAAAAGATTGCACGTTATTAGGATGTTAATGATGTAACAACCCAAAGGCCAAGGAAAATCAATTCGAAAATATCAGTGGTTAAATTGATTTTTTTACAATTTGATGATCAAGTCAAGAAAATTCCTAAAGTTTAACGTCTAATTGTGTAATTAGCCCAAAAAATCTATTTTATTTAACTTATCCTTCAAGTAAAAGTTTTTAACAACATATTATAATAGAGGTACTTGATAAGAGCACTTAAACCAACTCTCAGTATAAATAGGTCAATAAAAAAACATTTTTTATTTACCTTATTTTCCAAGCAAATATTTTTGGTCATTCTATTGGTTCTATTTTCTCTAAGTATTGAAAACCTATTGGAAATATATATCCCTAGATCACTGCCTCCATGTTACAAGTTCAAGCCAAAAGATGAAGAGCTGATTGATTTTTATTTGAAAAGAAAAATCTACAAGAGACCATTGCCACCCAACATCTTTAGGGACGTTGATCTCCACAAGCATGATCCTCTTACTCTTACATGTTTGTCTAAAACCCTAGTTTTCTTTTTCTTTTTGATTTTGGTGTTCTTGAAATATATATATATATATATGTTTCTATATCACTTTGCAATGATAATCGTTTTATTTTCATGTTGTCAGAGATGTGTGATAATGCATCTCAAATGGCATAATATCCGAGTGGTACTTTTTCACACAAGAGATCGTAGACACCCAAATGGCAAGAGGCGTGTGCGGCGTATCGGTTATAGGTATTGGAGGGAAACAGGAAAGGCTATTCTGGTCACCTCTAGGGGAGAGGAAGTCGGTTCCAAGAGGACTTCAGTCTTTTTCAGAGGAAAATCATTGAAAGGTGAAAAACCAATTGGATCATGCACGAGTACGCGTTAA